CACACACACACACACACACACACACACACACACACACACACACACACGATTGAAAGAATTTTTAATCTTTAATAAATTTGATTTATTATGCGATAGGATACTACCGCGTCAATTATAATATGGAAAATTGGCGTAGACTCACAAATTACCTGAAATCTGACAATTACAAGAAGATACATCCTATAAATCGTGCTCAACTTATCGACGATTCCTATCATCTGATGTTGGCAGGCCATCTCGATGGCACAGTATTTTTAGAACTCTCGAGCTACCTAAAACAAGAGAGAGATTATATACCGTGGTATCCTATGAAGAGGATTTTGTCGAATATGACGACATTTTTCCGATTCCCAGAGAGTGCATCGATTAAAGTAAGCTATAATATCAGCGAATTTGATTAATTCGCAAGATGTCAGATATTGAGCCGTTGCGTAAGATATATATTCATGTTTACAATCTTGTTTATTCTATCGAAAAAGATTTTAATCAGACTGAGTAATTTATCCTCGACATATATAATTAGTAAGGAACCGACATCAAATTCGTACTATTTTATATTTTCCAGAAACATATGCGAGTAATCCTGAATAATGTGCTTGAGGATATAGGATATAAAGATAATTTTGATGACACTAACTTTACAAAACTTTTAAGATTATTGGTATTAGAGCTGATATGTAAACTCGGTAACGCCATGTGCTTGACAATGGCTAATACAAATTTAGTCGCGTATCTCGAGAATCCCGATGCACCTGAGTAATTCCTTCTCTATATATTTCTTATTTTATAAATTATATCTTGTTTTATAAATATAATAATCTCAAGATATCAAACTATATCTATATGATCTTTAATGAAATGTTTGAGTTAAAATTTTCATATTTATGTATAATAGTATACAGCCGTTGTGGGAGGAGTGGATATTCTGTATGGGAATGAAGAATGCGGACGATACCAGTTGGTCACGGATGATAAACGAATATATGCTCACGAAGAAGTCCGAATATTTAGATTATCTGAATTGTGCGGAAAGTTCCATATTGATTTGCGATTACATATCCAAACTTGTATCAAATTATTTTCACATAGGGAAGCATGAACGCTTGCGAATCATACGTAATATCCTAAAGAGACATGCGTCGGACGATTTAGTTCTTGATTATATTTTAACGAACTACAACTTGATAAGAACTATGTAATAATATTTCTTTCCTTTTATAGAAATTTTGCTGTCGCTCGGAAGAGAAAGAGCTGGTGTCTGTTTCTTTAAGTTTCACTTAAGAGAAATCTCTCGCAAGAATTTCAAAACAAGAAAATTCTCTGATTACAGTTACATAATTTTATATTTCATAATTTCATAATTAGCATATCATTTAATCCATACAGTTAACAGAGTATATGCCTTTTTCGGACAAATTCACAGACTTAAAAGTTTTTAAATTTTTATAATTGAATTTTTATAATTGAGAGAGAGTGAAGGAGTAGACACAGGCATGCTTTTCTTACAAGTTATACTAAATATCAATTCGTAAGAATCGGGAAAATTTGACATATTTAATAATAGTGATTTTCATGTTTCAATTTTGCAGTGCACAGTTTTCAATAATAGATTTTATCATCCCGAATATATACAGTGTGGAACAGTTGCAAAAGGTTAATCTTTCCTTCTTAATTGATTACTCAATTTCACTTGTCTTTGTATATTTTAATAATTGCATTACTTATTGACAATAAATATCGAAATTATTTGTTTCAGGTAGAGAAATTCGTAATAAGTCATCAGTTTAGCGAAGAGGAAATGGAGTTTCCAGTAAACTACACGCAACGTCTCATATCCAGTATTGCGACTCAATCGAAGAACATTCGGACAGAAATAAAGATGTTTACTAATCAATTCAATATTAGTGAAACTAAAATGATTTCGATTTGAATCAAGAACCGAATATGACGAAACGATCGTTTCACTACGTAGAACACATGCTCTCGATCGTGAAGTGTAAGATTAATTGCTATTGAGAACACACACAGATATAATAATTTGAACTTGTCATTCAACTAGGATTTAGGATTAAACTTAGAATTAAACGCAAACTAAAGATTTAATAGGATTAAAGTTGGGATATATTAACTTACTTATTACTAAGTGAACAAAAAAACATCAAATTGACATTTGAAATGTCATGCGTATGCGTGAAACGTTCTCACTCAATATTTCAAAAGTATTGCAAAGATATTACTGGATGATATATGATCTCTTTAAGAATATCGTAAAAATATTTTTAGAATATTTGGGTGCCAAAATTATTCGTAATGATGTTGATACAATGTTGAAATCTACATTAGAAAAGGTTATATAGTATTGACCATCATTGCAATAACGTTTTATCAATGCTTTTTTGCTCACTGAGTAAAGTTATAAACGTTTGTTATTCAAATTACAAAAGTTGTTAAAGTTAATTTGTTGTTACTTATTTCTTAAAGTCAGTACTCACTAGAATTTATTTAACTTGGGATTCAATTTATAATTTTATAATCGTATGCGCATTATTAATATTATTTATTGATTATACAAAGTAGTGGCAACGATGTATCAAAGTAGCAACATCATTCGAAATGAGAAAATTTTGTAATCTCAATTATATGTTATACAAGTTTAAGTACAGTGATGTGTATTCCATCGCCAGATATAACTTCACATCTGGAAACTTGATATTTTATATATAGAGTTAAATAGCTTTATATAAATGAAATTATATGAAATTGTCGCAGAAATTTCTACGCACACATAATTTTGTAAGGAGTAAATTATAATATACATGTTGCAAACTCGATGAAACTTTTCATATCATGATTGTTTCAGTATTATTTATTATTTCTTTCTCTGATCTTTTGAATATCTATTTGATACACGTTCGAATACACCGTTAATATCTCTGTGCCTCAAGTTCACAAGTACAAAGCTTGTTAGATTTGTTTACTACATCTAGCACAAAAAAAAATACAGAAAACAATAAAATCACCAGACACTGATATCGTTATTAGTATCCAGCGATTTGTCGAAGTAGCAGAACACTACAATCGCACGAGTATCGGGATACATTTCTGATATTACGAAGGATTGTCAATTGTTGCAAAATTATGTTTTAATCAGAACGGACGTCCAGTATACAAGGTAAGACACCAAGAAACAGAAAATAAAACATTTTCCTCGAATCTAAAAAGAAAAGGAATTGACATTTACAGTGGCGTAGTCAGAAAAAAGTTTCGGGGGGGCTGTACTTTTTATTTTTGACGAATAAAAAAAAGATCATTCGAAAAAATTTGTCTCACATTTAGCGTAACCCAGAAAATTAATTTCGGGGGGGCTGAGAGAACTGCAGCCCCCTGGCTACGCCACTGGATATTTAGATATTACCGATAAACGGAAACGAATTTTTTTTTGGTTAAAACGCATTTCTATCAGAATTTTCAAATACATGCATGATTATAATGAGAAACGTCAAAATACATCGCTGTAGGAAATTTTGATTTGTTTTTACTTATTATCGTCATCAATAATTGGTTTATTAAGAAAACTGCGAGATTTTCAATTTTATCAAATTGCACGAGCAATATTGAATCGTTCCGTGTACGTTCTTGTTTCTACTCGTTTTTCTCTTCTTTAACAAATATATGTATTCACGCAGATCTCGGAGATATAAAAAGCGACATGGAATACTTGAAACTATTAGTTATTAGCTGCCTGCTCTTCAATGTCGCGATGGCAATACAATGGAAAAAAACGGCGGCAAATTGCTCGTCCGATTATCGTCTACCGGCAGTGGCAGATTGTTACCATTACATTGTTAGAATAATGCCATCAAAAGTGTTAGATTATGATTATGATTCTTTTTATCATGGGGACGTTACTTATTTAATTAATATTCATCAGATAACAAAAAATATAAGTTTGCACGTTTTGTCGGAAATGCAATTAACAGACATATCTTTGGTTCAACAATCTCCCAATATCACTTACATTCCAGTGAAGTTCTTTTATTGCGAAGAAACGGAGATTTTAACGATCATATTCGATAGTGAACTATCACACGGAGAGTATATGTTGAAATTGAAATTCACTAATATACTAGTTAGTCCTTACAGCAACGGCTTTAGCGTAATTAAATACAGAGACAACATAGGCATTGAAAAGTAAGTAATCGTTTAAGTTCTTTAAATTCACAAATTAAACGAATTGAAAGATCGGGCAGGTAGTTTATGTCATTAAAGAATGAGTTAATTAGTAATTAAAATTTTGTTCGTAACACACAAGTAAGTTATAAATCAAGTTCCATTCGTTATTTCGAATAGATATATTTTCGGATTATAACGGACGCAGGTTGCTGATCGGCTCAATGTTTTTCATTGTATTGAATAACATTCAGTATTAGTAAACAGTCTGGTACCGTTACTGAGTCCACTAAGCTTGCACGCTGATTTTCGTCGAGTCGATCATTACCGAATATATTCACTTAAAAAAAGAGTTAATTTTTACTAATTTATTAATTTATATTTATATTAATTTTTTTATTATTAGAGTAGCTAAGAATTTTAAAACAATGGAAAGAAATCAATAATCTGACTATTGAGGTCATAACGATATATTATAATATTATTAATGAATTACGATGACTTTCGTACCTTGTGGAGAAAAAGGATTAATATTAATTTCCATGCCCAAAGCGTTCTAAGATCATTCCGGTTAAATTCAGAACATCCTGAGATATATTTTGGTAGTTCTTGGCGCAGTAATCGAACAGCGATTCCACAATTGAACTCGGAAAATTTCCAAGTTTTAAAATCTCTTTCATTGATTTCTAGTCTTTTAACCCTTAAACACTGATACAGATTTACCAAAATATTTCGAAGTTTGATAATTACATGAGAAAGTGTGCGAAACGTCTTTCCTTGTCGCCACTTCGTATTTTACGGACCAAAGAAAAGATAGATGGACGCGATGTGTATACGCTTAAGCGGGAGTGAAACAGCAATACACGGAAAAAAAGGTTTGATTGAATTAACCAAATATCTGGTCGAATATGAACGATCCAGAAATTCCGATTGAAGTAACCCGAATTCTGTTTAAGTCAACCAAAAATCTTATTAACTTAAACAGAATTCGGGTTACTTCAATCGGAATTTCTGGATCGTTCATATTTGACCAAATATTTGGTTAATTCCAAACCTTTTTTCTATGTAGATTTTTTTATTTCATTGGGAGTCTATCAGACTCCTGTCAGTGCTTGAGGATTAATAGTTGAAAATTTGAGAACGAACTTTGGTCCTTCTTCTTCCGAGGTGCAGGAAGTACACTAAATAATATTTTCTCGACATTCACATCATACGCTATGTTCTAACTTGAATAGCGTCGTACGATCATTAGAGATTGATCTTTTGATACATCATTGAAATGTGATAGGAAACATGTGATGATGAATTTTCTCTGGAACGCCCGAACAGTATTTCCTTGCTGGGACGAGCCTACTTTGAAAGCGACTTTCAATATCTCAGTGCAGCATTTATCGTCCTATACTGTTTTGTCGAATATGCCGATATTTCAGCAAATGCCCATGAATGATAATACGGTGCTGACGTACTTTTATACCACCCCTTTGATTTCCCCTTATCTCGTGGGGATTGTGCTATTCGAGGATCTCGTATCGATTTCCAATAACAATTCACTTATCAACATGTGGGGTAGCCCAGAAAGCCTCAAATCTAGTATTAATAGCTCAGAAAAAGTTTGGGAATTACAAAGCATGTACGAAATTGCTGTAAACTGCTTCGAGTACATTAACAAAAGTGAATATTTTACTATAATTAAAAAAATGGATCATATTATGACACCATCTCCCACACATCTGATGAAGTATAGCTGGGGACTCTACAGTTACAAGTAATGCATGTGGATTTAAAAAAAACAAAGCGTGATACACAAGAGAACCAGAAATATTTTAAGTATTGAAAATCTTAAGGATTTGAAGATATAAATATTTCTGTCTCCGATCTCTATCTAAATAATTGTTCAAAAGTCGATTAAATTTTTAGAGAATCAGATCTCTCGTATAGTACGAAAAACAAAGTTTTGGAAAAAGAAATTTATATGGAATATCAGATAGCACATAAGGTAGCACATCAAGTGTTTCGTACTATGGTCAGTCCGACTTGGTGGAGTTACGAGCCGCTGAATGATGGAATCGCAACGCTCTTTGGACTATATTTCATCGATAATGTAATTTTGTGCTTATATAGTATATTTTCTGTACGTTAAAGCCTAATCTACAATGTGCTCTTGGCTTCCTGTTTCTTGTCCTCTGTCTTTTTTTAGTTTAAGGCTTAAGGTGTAAGTCAGAAAGTGATAAAGAAAAAAAACAGGAAGCAAATAACACAACAAGCTTAAAGCTTCATCTATAATGTGTTATTTGCTTCCTGTTACTTTTTCTTGATCTCTTTCTGACTCAAACCTTAAACTAAAAAAAGGCAGAAAACAAGAAATAGGAAGTAAAGAACACATTGTAGATCAGGCTTAAAGTTTAAGGTGTGAGTCAGAAAGAGATAAAAAAAGAAACAAGAAGCAAATAACATATTGTAGATCAAGCTTAATGCTAGTTGATATCGCGAAGATTGCCAAATTTATTCGAAATTACATAAGATTTCAAACGCTTTTATCGATTTCATCATTTTAAAGGTATCTTTCAGTATGTGCTTTTTACGATGATTATAAAAAAGAAAAAGAAAAGTATTTTTTTCTTTTTTTTAGTATCGGGAGAAATATTAAATATTATCCAATGATCTCGATATAACAGTCGCTCAATCATACATATAGATACGTTTGTTCACAGTTTTTCGGGCACACAACGTTTTCGGATTACTTTATGATGGAGATACAACATCAACTTTTCTTTGAAGATGCTGAATCTCATATGAGCCCAGTTATTCGCGAAGTCAATACTCCTAATGAAATCGAGTCCTTCGTATCATCGAGCTCTCGGAAGAAAGGTGAGACTTAAAAAGAAAAAGAAAAATAACTGAATAATCGCTCGAGTGTGGAACGTGAATGAAACGTGAAAGAAGACACGATAGGCTAACTGTGAATAAATTTGTTGACAATTTAGTAGTATATAAAAATTTAAAAAAAGAGTATTCAAAATTTGCAATGCTTTACAAATTCTTTTTTGTGAGATTAATTGATATTCATCAATTATTATATACCATTGCAAATTTATTTTAAACTTGTTTAATCTTGCCTTATATTGTAAATGATTGTAGCAACTGCTATAATGCGTATGATGTCCCATATCGTTGGTAAGGAATTTTTCATGGGAGCTATCAACCGATATTGGCGTTACAAGTAAGTGACATTTTTTTTTTTTATTTATACTCTGCATTAATTAGACCAAACAGCTTAACACATATAGACGAATTAAATTGATAAATTTGTATTCCCGAACCCAGTCTGTTGCGATATTTACTATTAATCATGTTAAATATTACGAATACAGCGAATCTTGGACGGTCAATCTGGACGATCTCTGGAAAGCTTTCGAAGGAGTCCCAATGCCACGACATGCCAAATTCGAAGCATATTACTTGGACACAGTAATGACAAACTGGTTATTTAACAGTGATTATCCAGTAGTATATGTAGATACTGCCAGTAACTTTATAACGATTACGCAAGAATGTTTTTGCAAGCAAACGGCAAATAAAAATGATACCGACAAATTATGGTGGATCCCCATAACTTATACTCGCAGATCATTTCTCAATTTCACGGTAACTTCGCCTATACTTTGGCTAAAGCCAGAGGTTCCGTCTAGAGTTATTTACGAAGTTCTCAAACATGATTGGATAATACTCAATGTGCAGCAAACTGGTGAGTATTGACCGATATATCTACTCAGATAGCACAGAGAATTCAAAAAGAATTCAGTTATATGTCACCAATTCTGAGTTCATTTCTCAGTGCAAAAAGAAATCTTTTTACTGAACTGAACTCTGAAGAATTTTTTTGCATCTGAAAATGAACTCAGAATTGGTGATATACGACTAAATTCTTTTTGAATTCTCTGTGCTATCTGGGTATTCATTATTCTAAACGTATTATTTTTTTATCATCCCCCACCCTTGTGAAAATTGAAATTAGAGAGCCATCGCAAGAGCCATTAGCAAGCGACGATTACTCATAAATACATATGTGATCAGAATAGTCTCTAGTCCTTAATAAGCCTGATTTATTTTTTTGACAGGATACTATCGCGTTAATTACGACAGGAACAACTGGCGAAAGCTCGCGGCATACCTGAATTCTGACGAATACATAAAAATACACCCTATTAATCGCGCTCAGATTATCGATGATTCCTATCATTTAATGTTGAAGGGCTCTCTCTCTCCTGCGATATTTCTTGATCTTTCAAACTACTTAGAACGAGAGAGAGATTATATACCGTGGTATCCTATGAAGAAAATTTTTTCGGATATGTCGACATTTTTCCAAAACCCCAAAAGTAGATCCATCAAAGTAAGTTATAATATCAACAGATTTTTTATTAATTAATAGAATGTCAAGAGCTAAGACGTCGTATATAAGATATCTGTTTACGTTTGCAAGATAATTTGTTCGTCTCTTCGAAAAAGATTTGAATTGGACCGACTAATTTAAATAATTTAATATACGTATTTTGTAAGAAACCGATATTAAAAATTCGCTCAGTAAACATAAGTAACAGCTCAGGTAGCACAGAGAATTCTAAAAAAATTCAGTTGTATGTCACCAATTCTGAGTTTATTTTTAGAAAAAGAAGATTAGATTAGATTAGATTTTTAGATTAGATAGAAAAAGAATTCTTTTCACTGAACTGAACTCTGAAGAATTCTTTTTACATCTGAAAATGAACTCAGAATTGGTGACATATGACTGAATTCTTTTTGAATTCTTTTTGAATTCTCTATGTTATCTGGGAGTAGTACTATATCTATATTATAATTTCCCACTCAACAATATAAGTGCAATATAACACATTTTGTACATAACAATTACGTTGTCGAATGGGAAATTACGACATTGATGTAATATTTCTGTTACTCGGTATTTATTGGGTCGTACTGTGTTTGATAATTTCCAGCAACATATGACAACCATCCTATTTGGTGTATTGAACGATATAGGATATGAAGAAAATGATAATGAAGCTGATTTTACAAAACGTTTACGATTAATGGTGGTAAAATTGGCTTGCCAAATCAATTTTATTGACTGCCTCGATGTGGCTAATGCTAAGTTGTCAAAATATCTCGATCAACTCCAACTGCGACAGTATGTTAAGATAACGAATTATATAGTCCATTATATAATTTCTCGAGAAAATTTTGAGAAAAATTTTCTTAATTTTAGATACCAAATATCGCCGTCGTGGATAGACTGGGTTCTCTGTACGGGTATGATGAAAGCGAACATGACTTATTGGGAAAAAATGCTAGATTTGTTTATGTACACAAAAAATATTCAATACTTAGAATATTTAACTTGTGTTGAAGATCCCGTAATCATCACTCACTACCTAGACAAGCTAATAGAAAGTCATATTCCATTCTTGGATGCTCAAAATTCCATTCGTATCATACATTCTATTATAAGGAAACATGCAACAAAAGATATGGTGTTTTCTTATACTTTGATCAATTTCTCCAAGATAAGAACCCAGTAAAAATACTTTTTTGTTTATAAAAATTATATTTTTATTCGGAAGAAAAATAGTAAAATATTCAGAATGAGCAGATTCTTTAATCTCAACTGCATATTTCGTTATTTGACGACTATATATCAGTTAATCGATCTAATTAACAATGTCTTTCTCGAATAAATTTATCAATTTTAAAATGTCTATAATTAAAAGATAGTAAAGAAATAAATATTAGTATGCTTTTTCTTCCGAGACATAGAAATATAAGTTCACTAGAATTGTGAGATTTTGACATATACTAATGATCATTTTAACATTTAATTTTGCAGTAAAGGTGTATCGATATTAGAAGTCGCCGCTCAAAGTACATATAGTTCGGAACTCTTAACTCAGGTTAGTTTTACGATTTCGTATTCTCTCTTAATTTATTCCCTTATAGAAATTTAATAATGTCAATAATAAATTGGTCAGTTATTTTTAGTAATTTCATTACTAGTTACTATAGTAACGAGTAATAAAACTATTAAAAATTATTGGCCAACTTATTATTGATAGTATTAAATTTCTATAAGGGTTGCACACTAATTTCGTTCGTCTTTCTTTGTGTTAAGTTACACACATACTTGTGTGTATGTTTTACAATTAATTATGCTCAAAACGAGAAATTTTATTGTGTCAGATATATACGACATAAAATTATGTTACTGCATTATGTTTTGACAATAAATGTCGAAATTATATGTTTCAGATGGAGGATTTCGTAAAGTATCATACTCAAAGCATGATGCCAATAATTTCGTGGTATAATGAGGTAATATGGTGGTTTGATGAAAATTACTCGAAACAACTGATATTTGTCATTAACGAACGATTGAATCAAATTCAACAAGAAATAAACATATATAGTGATCTGTTTCCTGATCTATTAAAAATTCCCAGAAATACATTAACATCAAAAAGTTTCGATTTTTATCAAGAAGTAGATATAAATACATATACTCGGATGATGGAATGAAAGTTTTTAGTTACTATTGAGTACACAGACATAACATAATAGCTTTGATTTGTCATGCAGCTATGATCTAGAAGATTAAGACTTTTAACTCTCTCTCTATTAAGATTAAGATTTAATTTAAATTAAAGATTTGACAAAAAGAGAATTGAAGTTAGTTATTTATTATCCAGTAAACAAAAAACTTTAAATCAACATTTGAAATGTTGATTTTATATATGAACTGAACGTTCTCACTTAATATTTTAAAAATATTACGGGATAATGCAATTTGTTCGCGATTATACCGTTAAAATATTTTTAAAATATTTTAAAATGCCTGTAAGTTATTCGTAATGATATTGATATAATATTAAAAACTATGTAGTAAAGAAAGTTGAACATTATTGAGTATCATTACAATAACATTCTATCAATGTTCTTTTGCTCATTGGATAAAGCTATAACGTTAATTATTAAAATCACAAAAATGTCAAATAAAATTATAAAAATTGTTAAATATAGTTATTTATATGTATTTTGTAATAAATTATGTAACATTGTTTTCAACACACTTACATCTGCCATTTTTCATTGTTATGCGCTAAATGTTTTTTGGACATATCTGTAAACGGTGATTTGATCTCTCAGACAACACAAATGTCCTCAAAAACATCATAAGACGTCTTTAGGACGTCTTTAAGACATCTTTAAGACAATACCTAATAAACATGTCTTAAAGATGTTTTAAAGACGTCTTATGATCCGATTTTGAACGTTGTGCGGTCTGGGCTGTTACGATAATAGCTTTGCGGTAATAAACAAACGTGAACGTATATAAAATATGAATAATCTAATTATATTATACATTAAGCCTATTATATCAATATTTATACATACCCTCTGGATCTTGCGATGTATCTCATCCTCCGTATTTCGTACAATAAATTCCGCAGTACCGTTTCCGACGCAGCTCCATTCGCCATTACGCGCCAAAGGACGTTTCAGTGATGCTCGGCGCGATCTAACGGATCTAAGTTTAATTAGGTCGGTAACGATTCGAAAGGTAAGGAGACATCTATCAATTAGTTCCATTCTCTCCGTTACGAGGCGCTTCCGTTCTCGGTCTGTGATTGGATAAGACAGAGTGGGACGAATTGAACGAAAGGTTGTGAATCTTCGACAGCACTTTGCCCGTGCTACAAGACAGCCAATCGGCACGTTCGGCGAACAGCAGAGAAATTTTTGAAATTTCCTTGCGGGTAGTGTGTTTATGGCGTCTGTTGCGCGTTAGAACGGTAGTAAGGATCGTTTTCGTTCATGGGCACCTATGCATCCCACGCATTAAATATCGCAACTGTCTACGAGCGAGGTGAGATGCTCCTGCGTCAGTATTATTCGACTGATCGCGCGAGAATCTTCAATCATAATAACGGAAACCTTTGACATGCCGGTGTAGTTATACACGTATCAAGCTCGTCGACGTTATTGCATTGTTTACATTTGTAACGAGAGTTAACGTTAGAGGCCGAACACATTAGCGATCGTTTTTTGTAAAAAGTAGGTCAATTATAAAGAGTTAGCAGATAATCTCTTTTTCTTTCTCATCAAATTTCATCATCATTAATCTGTAGAATCGGTAATTAGCTCTATCATCTCTTCTTATCATCTCTTCGTATTCTTTTTTTGCATCTCTCATACTGACAACATCAACAGTATGACGAGTATGATTTGCTTGACTTCATAGTTTCTTGAGGCGTTTTGAAAAAGATATAAGAAATGTTTCTGTAAAACAATTTAGGAGAGTTTTCAAAGATTTAGTTAGTACAACATATAGACAAGCTGCATAAATATTCAATAAAAAGATATTTCAGTCTTATTGTCTAGTGTATGTATTTTGTAATAGGTATAATGGATTTGGCAGCTAATGATTTAGAAAAGACCTCTGCTGTAGAACGAGAGGCAATGGTTAACAAACTACATAACATGCAATGGTTGAAAAGTACACCCAATTCAACAAGCCTGTACGTTACATTCTTTTGTTTAATTTCTTTAATATTTTTTATTACTTCTTACTATATTGTGTACTGTATGTGCTTCTTACTTAATATATGTAAAGTTTTATTACAAAAAAAAAAATATATATATATATAGTACTTATTTTTACTGTATGTATATATAGGATATTTGAAAATTGTATCCACAGAATTGCAAATACTAGAGTTTGTGTATTTCATAGAAAGTGTAGAATTAAAAAATCCAAGTGAATTAAACTTTAAAAATAGAAGAAAATAATAAAGTCTTGTTTCTCATCTATGTTAAATTTTGGATATAGATCTTTATAATAATGAGATTTTAATATGGATTTTGATATAACCTGTATTAATATATATGTGTGTGTACATATATATATATGTATATATATATATGTATATATATATATAATATATATATATATATATATATATATATATATATATAATCTATTGAAATATATATTATAATATTTATTTAAATAAATCTTTGTTAGCTGTAATGAATAGATGTATCAGAGATATATTTTATAATAGTGCTTTCATATTTGAAAGTTATTTTTTATATTGATACTACATGATTGCAGTGTAAAAGTAAAAACTCTTTGTAAGCAAAGAAGAAGTCATGATGAGGATGAAAAAATAAATGATAAAGTTCTTGCAATAGAAGATAGCAAGGCTAATTCAGTAGAAGAGTCTATATCGTGTGAATACCATTTGACAATGGATACATGTGTAAAAGATATATCCAGTGACCCGATGACTAAAAAAAATGAAAATTTATGTGAGAAAGATATGGATACATCTAATATGCTTCTGGATGCTCATGCATTGATTATGCAAAAGGTTGGAAAAGAAGAAATATCAAGTGTGGCTACTCAGGAAAATGTTATAACAACACAGTTGGAAATATGTTGCCATATAGATAAGGAACAAAAACATCAAGAAAGTATGTCACAGAACATAAATATTCTTCAAGATGAGACACAGTAAGCTGAAAGAAAACTTTTAACTAATTTAAAACTATTATGCTAATATTGTTTTATTATAATATTTATGATAAATATATTAGAAATACCAGGTGTTCAAGTGTTCCCAAGTCGCAGAAAAAAGATACAGATATGCTGAATTTAACAGAACGTGCTGACAAAAATAATAATAATGAATCTATGATACCAGATACATCAAAAGAAAATACGCCAAAGTCAGAAAACGATAAAGTATCAACAGAAACAAAGAATAAAGGTAAGTTGATCCCTTACATATATATTGAATAACAAAAATTTCATTCTGTTCCTTTTTTTTAGATACTTGTATAAGGAAGACCAATACATTAAAAACAAACATTAAAAATGCAAGTAATACAACTTTGTCTAAATGTTGCAATGATAAGCCCTCCACTCCTGTTATTAATTCTAAGAGATCACTTTCCAACTTGTCAAAATCACCAATGACTTTTAACAATAAGTATGGAAAAGCAGAAAGAGTTGCCAACAAATATGTATTTACAAAAAAGAATTCTTACACAAAGGATGAATCTATAAGACAGCATAATTGTTTTCCAACAAAAGAAGCAGAAAATAAAACAAAGGATATCGCTGCAAAATCAGACTTATTGAAGTCAGGTTTCGAGAAAGAACCTGATAAAACAGCCGATATAAATCAAAGCGATAAAAAAGCACACGATACATCCTGTACTGTCTTTTCAAATAAGGACAAAACATCGCAGATCCATCAACGAACAGCTATAAAACAATTTATTCCGAAATCCAAAGGACAGGAGTTTTCAAGAAGCAGTACGTCAACCGCGTTTAATCGTACTTTCGATAAAAATAAAGTACCAGAGAAAATGGAAAAAGCAACACCTGTTTCCAAAAGTTCTGATTCGTCTTTGCGTGAATCTGCGAGGAAGAGCAGTGATAAAAATGTTTCAAACGATCAAAAGAACTATTGCGCCAACAGGAGTACCACATTTTTTATAAATAAAAACTCAACATTGTCAAGGCCCGTGAAGTCTAAGAATATGTCGGGGAACGTCGGATATACTCCAGCTAGCGGAAGAAATCCACTGTATGCGCGTAGTAATACAACACCTGATAAGGAGCGCTCTGGTAACACCGAGTATAGAGCTGGTACGAAAGCAAAAAAAGACTACCTACCGATTGATACACTTTCCAACGTAAACACGAAAACTGAACAACTCTATGCAAGCAATTTAGAGACTGATAAGAATCAGCAATGCGAGAAGAACAAAGACGCACAATCGGCAAATACAAAATCGTCAAATGTACACAAAACAGACGCGTCAATTCTTGACAATAAGAATAACATAAATTTCACAGAAGATAAGAAGCCTGCAAATGTTGAAGATCACGCGAAACAGGTACCTGTAACACCCGAACCAAGCTACAAAAATGAAAAGACAATCAACAACGTTAAAACTGATGCAGATCAACAACCAACAGATGCGGATAAGAAAGAGAACAACGAGGAACTTAAGCCATCGAAAGACTCGTTCGGTTTATACTTAGATAAGAGCTACACAGGATCGCAAACTTATCCGACGAGTCCGCCTGTATTCAAGCCGGAGAACACACAACAGACGGATGTGAATCAAACAAAAAACAATCCGTCTATTTGGAATGATTTGTCCGACTCATTGCGAAGGAACATAAGCATGCAGCACTCTGTTCAGAGTATACATTCACAGCAGACTATCATTCAGACAGAAAATCAACGATCGCAGACGTCACTGCGGGAAGTGGATTACGGCAGATTTTATGATCAATGTTTGCCGATGAGCGACACGACACGGCCGTCGCAAATCTCGAACACTTTCGATGCAGTGCCGTATGAGTACAACATGCAAGCGACACCGGGTGACCGCGGCGACGTCACGACCATGTTAGACACGATGAGCGGCAATCGGGATAATTCAAATGTGTCGCACCGATACACATCAAACGTGCAGCAGAGACCTTTCACGCCACTGTCGGACTTATCCGGTCATTCTGTGCCGTCGAGTCAGGTCAGTAGATGGAACCTTTCGTTGCAAGACGGTTTTCACGTAGAGCAACCCGCCGCGACGATGCACGTCTACAGCGCTGCGGCTTTCGATCAGGACGATTTCAACGGCGCGCAAGTGCCGACGGCGAATTGCCTACCAGCGCATCATCTGCTCTACACACCGTACATGCAAACTTGGAACTCACAGCTGCACTATCCGACGCCAGTCTTTCACAATCCCCCGTGCACCAGCTACACTATACTGCCAAACGTGACCAACCAATCGAGCAATTACAACGACGCCAACGTCAGCCCGATAACAATGTGCATGCACGAGCAGCCGCAGCACAGGTATATTCATTACGTACCATCCAACAGTAATGCTACGATGCAGATGCACGCGAACCCGAGCTATATGAAGGATATGTACGGTTGCGACTTGAATAACTGCCTGGAAACGAGGAACCCTGTCGTCGACGAGAATCCTATAAGACCTCCCAATCGATATTACAAAAGATATCAGGACAACTGCCGGACAGCTTACGACGTTCCACAGTACGCGACTACGGCTTCGCAGCCGATTTCACGACCGCAGCAACAGCAACAACTTTTCGTGCCCGCGAGTTTAAATCAGTACAATGTCTATGGTCCACCGGGTCAAAAGTATTACAAGCAGAACACGATGAATTTCACGCAGCCACCGCCGAACAGCCCGAAGGGGCAGAAGATGCAGGACTTAGTGTGTGAGGACAACAGCCTAGAGGACATTCCTCCGATCATATCGCCCAAGGAATTCATGACGAGCAATGTTAATTTCTCAAACAGGACCGATCAGTTCACCCCGCGCATATTCAAGCCGGACTTTAAGATGAGACCGAATACAGGTTATCGCCAGCCGTTTCAGAGATACAGCGGCGGCTTCCGCAAAAATACATATCACGATTTCCCAAAAGAATACACACCCTCGACTGGTATCGGCCGCGGTATTTCTAAGACCAGTCAAAACACGAAAATGTAAGCTAGTACGAAACGTAAGAGACGCACATGTGATTTAAACCGTTAGCTTTCCCGAGCTGTGATACAAAGTTCATTTATATTGATGGAAAAATTATTTTCTTTTTAAATATATGTTTTATCTTTTGCAAATATGTGATGTTATGTATCTGAAACAGTCAAATTGACATTTCATAGCTAATCGAGGAAACTATCGCAACGATTTGCCATTTATCGCGATCTATTATAGTTCGTTTTTTCTCTTTTTTTTCTCTTCTCTCCACGAAGCGTGGCTTACAAGGATACTAATTATAAGTTTTGATACAACAAGCGATTGATTTGAATATTAGAAAAGCTATAACAAATACCAAAAAAGAGAGCATTATTATGTTTATTTGTGTTATATATCTAGCGATATGAGCATACTCGAAGCGACTGTATTTCGAAGCTCGCCGTAAGCCTTTATAACTTGAGAAATTATGCTCATAGCTGTTTAAGTTCTCTATTTAAGTTGATACATTTTTATAATAGCGTAGGGAGAGAGGGAGAGAGAAAGAAATTTAAGTTACATATACTAGAGTATGTGCGACCGTTATATTAAGATGTCATTGCGAAAGATACTGTCCAACGGGTATAGAGCATGTAAGATTTTCTTGTTCGATTTTTTGTAATTTTAAGATAAAATGTTTCACACACAGAAAATTGTATTCTATATAAATTCTATTTTTCTATCTTATTATGGTTCAAACTGTATCGTTAACGAAGATGATACAGTTTATTTTTGTCGATTGAAGATTTTTATAAAAATAAATACAACAAATACTTTTCATTATGTCTGATTGTTATACTATAGATTCTTTTGTCCCAGGTGTATCATAATTTCGTAGTGGTAAGCTCATCCATCGCGTCAGTGACGATCTTACAGTTCGACGTGTTTACTTCGACAAGACTCTTCGAATCTCGAGCCACTCGCTCTGCACCTTTTAAATCGTTCAAAATGGCGATCAGATCGACGTCACTTTTTACCGTTAAGATCGGCTTGCTTGACATCGATTGTACACTTTTTAACACGTCAGCATTTGGACGCAGCATTATTAACTGGCGATTGTTATCGTCAAAATCTTTCATAATCATGCTGATACCCTGAAAGTAACAATTGTACAATAGAGACACAGTTATTCATCAATATTAAGTATATATATACCCGCACATAGCACCAAAGCCAATGTTATCATTACTAAAATGTTGCTAACATCTCAGTAAATTAAATTTCTTTGCATGGGAATACATTGTTGTAGTAATTTTCTCTATCGGAGAACAGCACGTAAACACTATTAAAACGTTAGCTCAATGTAATAAAGTAGTTACATCTTGACAAATATTGAAATGATGTTGATTTAATTAATAGGCAATCTTGAATTAACCAGGAAAACCTTGTATTAACGTTCAGATTTAAGGTTTATTAAAACTGCCAGAAAATATAACATTTTAAGGTCATAATAACGTCCCTACCATCTTTAGCAATATAATTAAAAGCTTCTTGAGTTTAATATTGGTGTTATATTTTTGTGTTACGCGGATATCATTTGTATTTGTATATCATATCAGTCATATTATGTATCAACAGAAGCAAGATTTCTCAATCGTTTTGATACCTGTGCAGCGGTAAAGTCTATCTTGTCGATATGCTCGCAATCCAGCACGACGTTCGTCAAAACTCTGGAATTTTTCAAAGAGCTCTGATATTTCTTCGACAAGACCTCCGTCAGATATATTCTCAAGTAATCTACCGCCGGGAACAAAAGTCCGGCGCTGGGACGCACCAAGACGTAACTCGCAGTCGCAGTCTGTGAAGAGAAAATCTTTAGTTTCGCTGTAATTCATTGAACATAATTTCGAGTCTTCACACTTCTTACGTTTCTGTATTCGATATATATCGCCGGTCGTGCATTGAGATATATCAGTATAGCGAGATCAATCGTTGCACCTATTACGATACCCAGCTCGACACCGGCGAACAGGCAAGCGAGGAATGTAACGAACGCTGGTATTAAATCACGTTCTACGCAGAGAAGAGACGACAAAATTACAGAAAGGACGAAATAGCTGTTATACGAGAGCAATTTCAAAGAAATCCAATTTCTTTTGACGTAGAGATTAGGATGCGAGAATCATTGGGCAGTCAATCTGTTAATTGAGCCAAAGAGACAGATCATTCTTCAATATATAATAAAGAATATCTATCTTTTGGCTAGTATCAATATTAACTTAATTAATATTGATACTAGCCAAATCAATTAATTAATATTGATATTAATTTAATTGAACCGAGAGGCAGATTATACTTTAATATATAACAAAGAATATCTGTCTTTTGACTAGTATCAATATTAACTCAACTAAAAAAAGAAAAAGAATAGCATTTTATCAATCTGTGTTGTACAAATTAACGCGATACTCTCAACGAGCGCTCTTAATTTCATATCATCTTCAATCATGACAATATATTAATTATTTTGGAGTTACTCACTATTGCACTTCCAGAGCGGAATTATCATGCCGACCTCCACCATGAATATCACCGCGCTGATTATGACGGAGCTTAGCGTCGCCTTCGGGATGTAATAAAAATACGGAGTCAATAAAGTTAGCGCGAGTACGACTAGAACACCTGAAATCGCGTTTCATGTATTCGTTGGGAGCGGAGATCTGCGTCACGAGATTCTCACCGGTGTAGACGCCGCCGAAAGGAGTCCGCACGCCGGAAGCATTGTTCACCGCGCTCCTGGAGAAGGAGCCAGTGACGGGCATCGAATGGAAGAACGAACCCACCACGTTACAGAGGCCGAGGGTCAGCATCTCCTGCGTGGCGTCCAAGGGCATGCCTCGCGCTGTGAATCACGAGAATCATTCATAAAGAGAGATCTTTACACTGAGGGAAAAATTACCTTAAAATCAACAAATATTTCTTTGATGGATGCCATTAACATATTTATTTAAATCTAAATTCTCTTTATTTAAACTAAATATTGTTTACTTAAATCAGGTAAAGAATATTTAATTTAAATAAAGAGAATTTAGATTTAAATAAATACGTTAATGGCACCCATCAAAGAAATATTTGTTGATTTTAATATAATTCTTCATTAACATATTTAACATAACATATTAACATATATAACTTAAGTCTAAATTCTCTTTATTTAAACTAAATATTGTTTACTTAAATTAGGTAAAGAATATTTGATTTAAATAAAGAAAATTTAGATTTAAGTAAATATGTTAATGGCACCCATCAAAGAAATATTTGTTGATTTTAAGGTAATTTTTCCCTCAGTACCGAATTTACGAGCGCAAAGACAGTACACATCGAAAAATATCGTACAGAAGGCTTTCGCGATGGCGACGTTCCCGATAATCGAGATCAGTGGCACCACCAAGATGCCGGTCCTCAAGTTCGTGGCCATATCGATGAAGTTCTCGGTTTGATTGCCGACCGTCCGCCAAAACGGAGGTGGCTCGACCCTCGGGAGACCAGCGTCGATGTGACCCGTGAGAATGAACGGCGCACCGCCGCGCGTCTCGAAGATGTAGGACGCGACCGTGCAGAGGATGACCACGAGCGCGTTCCTGGCTGTACCGATCGTCCAGAGGAACCTCTTTAGCTTGACACCGGCGACTCTTTTGTCCTTCAAATGCTGGGAAAAACGAGGCGGTGTAAACATGCCGTGCAATCGTATCTCTGCGTCCAATAAAAACGAGAAAAAGAAAAAAACGATCGAATGTACATTTATAATCTTATATATATAAGAATATCTTATATAAGAAAATATAATCTTATTCTTAGAAAATATCCTCTTATATATGGTCTCTCACAAGGGAGGATTCTTTTAAAACCAAAAGAAAGATGTTCTAAGCATAATATTCTTCAGATTAGAGAAGAAATTTAATCTCTTATCTACAATATATAAATTTTATTTTTGACAGAAATTTTTCTTCTAGAAAGAGAGCATTTTCTGAATGAAGTATACTTATTCCTCTTGATTTAAAGAGGAAAAAGATTAGAATAATATCTAGTAGATTCTTGATCAATATAGTTCACACTTCGATAGAAAGAAAATTCTTTCAGTAAAGATTTTATAATTAGAGTTCCCTTCTTCTGTGTTAGAATATTTTCCTTTTTGTTTCAAAGGAATCCTCTTGGAGTTATACATAAGAGGATATCCGCTAAGGATAAAATTAAATTTTTTTGAATGTATATACCTTCAAAAACAACAGAGTCGGAATGCAACAACAAGACAAGATCAAGTCCGGTATCTTAGTGTCGGTGATGTTGTTGACCAGCTCGCGCCATATGTCGACGAAGCTCTCGCCGTGAATATTGAGGCCTAGCAGGCCCTTGATCTGGCTGCAGGCGATGATGAGACTCGCGGCTGACGTGAACCCGGACACCACCGGTATCGACACGAACTCCACCAGGAATCCCAGGTGCAGGATGCCGAGCAAAATAGTCACGCATCCCGACAAGAAGCACAGCAAGGCCGCATACTCGGGAATCCCTCTGGAAATCGTTTTCGAAGTATAAGCGCGTTTATTAAACGCCAATTCAATTATAGACTTGTTAAATGTCACTTATTATCACGCGCATTATGTCATGCATTCCTCGTGTTAGACTGGTTTTTCCCCGTCGCGTAACGCTCGCGAAAAGCGTTACTTAACAATTTTATTATACCGATCGTGTGACCGCGTGCACCGTCGGCGCATTCTCTCATAGCTACCGGATGGAACCTCCAGCGAGAAAAGAACATTGTTACGTCAATCACGTCCGTAATGGTGTCTTCAATGTGAGCCGGACTCGCGTATTGTAACAGCTGATTAAACATAACTCTCGAGCAATGACACGCTACGATTCACACAATCATCTACGTTTGGCGGTCTGTGTGCCGAGAAGGAAATTTCAAACATACAATCAGGGAGCGCTTTTGAAAATTTTAAAGTGTTAAAAGAGCCGTCGAGATTCACTTGAGAATAAGGCACGCCGATTGTCATGAGTGCGACTGTCGTAGAAAACGAGTTCAGATAATTCAGACTGTCGGTTTTATCATTTTCGCGAGAAGATTTTGTATCTTGTTTCAAGTTTAAGCAAAGATATTCATCTGCGTTCGATTGGCTGTGTGCTAGAAGAAATTTTAAGTATGCAATTAAAGAATACTTATCAAAATACTAGAATACATAGAAAGATAGAAGAGTCTCCGTTTAACTCCTTGTCCACAACCTTGCTTTAATTCTTAAGCCGTAAGAAATTGATACATCACAGTTGATTATTTTTAAAATAATCAACTGTGGTTGGTCAATTTATTAAAGGCTTAAAGATTAAAGCAAGGTTGTGGACAAGGAGAATGAAGAAGAAACATTGATCATTACGAATGTAATCAATTTCAATCGTCGCAAGGAATCATAGACAGCTCAGGGCGTCGTTTTATCGTTCTCACGGGTAGTCTGAACGTTCGTACCTCGCATACGTCCAAGTCAGCAGTGATATGAGCGCGGTCGGGCCGATGTTCACCTCCCGACACGTCCCGAAGACGATGTAGACGAAGCTCCCGGCGAACGCGCTGTAAAGTCCATATTGCGGGTCCAAGCCTGCCAATCCAGCGTAGGCGATTGCCTGTGGATAAAAAGAAATCGTGTCTTCAGCGAACAATTGCGCGTGCTTGTGTCTGTCGCTTAAGTTTGAAAATACTTGAGGTATCAAGGTCAGTCCCACGGTGAGGCCCGCAACGAGGTCACCCAATGCGTCTGCCGCCTTGTACCGCGACAACCACCTCAAAGCGGGAACCCTCTTCTTGATGGTTCTCTTAATGAAATTAACTTCGGTCATTGTTATCAATCGCTGATCCTTCCAAGGTCCTCCCAATCTTGCAGGAAGCAATGTCGATCAGTGAGAGCGGTCAAAGCTCGCGTTCTCTCAAGTCTCTCATGAGTCGGGCGAGTTTTGTATCCCGCGTTGTGTCTCAGACTCTGTTCAGCGAAATTAACCAGTCAATTGATCGAGACTCTAAGTCAAGTTCTTACATCACGACATCGTCGGGATACCGTCGCGTGTCCCCCTTTCGCAGAAGCGGCGCTTGGAAATCTGTAATTTGGACACCAAAAAAGAGTCTCTCGTTTTACATTCGAACAAGCATCCAGCGTGCAAATATTAATTCAAACGTTCGCGCGTCCGCAATTAACCGACGACAATTAAGAGAGTCGCGTAGTCGCGGTGTATGCCTCCAGCTAATTGATCGCTCTAACACCGTCGCTATCTCTCGTTTCCCGCGTCGAAGTCCCTCGACTCACACTTCACCTTGACTTCGCGCGTTCCTTCACAGTCCCGTACCGATAATACTTACTATGAGGAAATTCAAGTATCCGGCGGAGGTAACGGATAGAGTTCACCATAATTATGAGACGACACGCGGGACATTCTTCACACTGTGTGGTCTCCACGAAATACCAAGTTTTTCTCTGTCTATCTGTCTCTCTCTCTCTCTCTCTTTTTTCTTTGGCTTCGATCTATGCTTTAATTAGAAAAAAAGGAAAAAGAATTTAATGCCACACTATTTCCCACCGTTCAAAGGACGAAGCGCGCTTCTCCGGACGTGCAGCGAAGAGGTTCGGTAACGGACTCGAGGAAACAAGGAAAACTCGATCGTGATCCACAATATGCATTATGATCCCTCTACCTGTTCACCGCACCGATCACTTACACAACTGTGCACGCCTCGTTGCCTCGTAGCAATCCACGCGTTCACGTGTCAACGCATGCGTTACTCGTAGCTCATGTGACATCGTCGTCGACGTTCGGCAATTTGCCCGTCAACGAGCGGGCGCCTTATCGTTGCACCGGGAAGTAACGAGGCCACTGCGAGAGTAGCGGCTGCTTTTTGAATTCGCCTCACTGTCCTCACCGAAATGGCCGGCAGATTTCAGATGGCAAAACTCCGTTACGGAGTCCTCTGACCCGCAAGTGAAAAACAGACGTTGTTTGCGATCAGATACATGCGTAACGAGCTTCTCGTGCGTCAAGAACGCATTATTCGTTATTCATCGTAGTAAAGATGGTTTAACGCACTTGTTGCCTTTCCCCCGAAAATCCACCGATGACCTTTGCGATTCTTTCGGCGATCAGCTGCCGCGCATCTTACTTTTCCATTGAAATTTCCCCCATTTTCTCTTTCCATAGCGATACGTCCGGGTCAGCCAAAGTGATTGCGCGCATCAGCTGCAAATCTCGTGATGAGCTCGACGGCGTTTCGCGAGTTACGTGCGTTCTTTTTTTGATTGTTTTCTTTTTTCTTAAGTAAGTGACTTACGGCGTTGGAACGCGAACAAAGCGATGATCACACTGCGAAATCGTAGCTGCGATTATGCGGTAATAGGCGACAACGCGAGTGCGCAATAAATATCCGCAACGTCAGTTTTTATCTTCCCGAAGGAGCCTTGAAATAACTGGCGACGTGTACGAACGTGCTAGGACAAATTAAATAATGAATCACTTCCGCGAAACGATTTTTTATCCCTGAAATATCAACGAATACCTCGCTCAAGAGAGCCGCGTTGAGACGCGCGGAACTGGAAATCATACTGATTATGGGGGGACGAAGTGTGATAATTCTCTTTTTTTTTCTATGGTATGTACTGCCGATTTTAGTTCAAACTCGCCATTTAAATTCGTGGCGTGTTAGGGACGCGTTAGGCATGTAACGCACGTAACACGTGGAGGACGGTATGTATACTTGAACTGACGCGGCATATCAAAATTTTTTGTCCGGATAGATGCAAATCAGCTTGATTCGAGGTTAACCTATAGTTTTCACGTTAGGTATTAATAGCAAGTGGTTTTTTTCCTTGTATTTACGCCGAATAACCGTGATGTTTCCACACAGAGAGAATGATTTATTGAATCAAATAAATAAAATGTTTCTTTGGAATAGCCTAAACAAATTATTTGGTTGACACAACAAAAATATTTCTTTGAAACTAAGCCGCAAATAAATATTTTTGTTGCTTCAAACAAAATTTTGTTCGATCTATCGAAAAATTCGTTTGGATTATTCTAAAGAAGTGTTTATTTGATTCAACCAAATCGTTCTCTCTGTACAGTCTCCGCTAAACTATTAAGTCGGGAATCGAATCGAGGGAATGGAATCCAGTCTTTTGCTGAACTATTAAGCCGGGATTCAATAATTGAGACGTCTCCTATCTCGGCCAATCCTTTAAGCCGGGATTCGAACCAAAGTGGTTTGAGTCTCTGCTAAACTATGGAAGTAATGCTATGGTCGAAAACGTATTATGGTACGTAATCGTATTATAAATAAAAATTTCAATAGTATAAATGAGGGTAGATAATGCTCTTTGAGTGGCATCGATATCTTATGTGATTGCCGAGAAATAAGCAAAAAATGTAAGCTGCATGTATAAGTTTGATCGCAACTTTGTAACGTACGTATACTTCAACGTACGCTTTATTTAACCTTTAGATTGCCGGAAAAACCACTTTTGTGGCTCTGCATAAATCTCAAAATTCTACGCCATATGTATGTTACTTATACAGAAAGTTTTTAAGAAAAAGAAACCACATTTTTAATGAAAAATGCCGGTAACCTAAAGGTTAAGAAACTGGTCTTAATCGTATTAACATATATTTATAATTCCAGTAGAATAAACTGTATGGATATTAATGATTTTTAAACGAAACGTACGTCGTACGGAACGAGAGTCGTACATTGGTAATCCATCAACAATTGTTGTCGATTAGTCTTTCAATTCATGTTATCAATTCAATCAATTCTATTGCTGGATTTCTATTGCAGCAGCATCGAATATGTCAAGAAAAAATTACTTATTACAGACATTAGAGCCTGTATTAATAGTCGTCATTTGAAACTCGTTCCGCGTGAAATACTCAGATATCAATTTAGAGCTAAATTTGAGTTTTTCACTTGAATCACACATATATGCGACATTGCATTTGCAGTAGCGATTCAGCTGGAAGATTTACGCTGCAAACGCTTTGAAACGCATTTAAAGAAAGGCCATGATTGGTCTATAATGCTTCAAAATTTGCAATGTATATCACGTTCTCTATATTCCAATCTGAATATCTCACCTGAGGCAAGTTTCCAGTGACGACTATTAATACTAGTTTGAGAATTTAAATTAAAAATGAAAAAAAGACGATCGGTATTTCATTATGATAACATAAAAAGCACGTTAAAATAATTAACATTACGTCATGTAAATTTATCCAACTTACACGAAGGAATGCAGAAGCGTGCACGCGTAGCGTTCGGATAGCGTTATCTACTTGCTGTTAGAGACGAACGCTTCGCGATTCACTATGATTTACCGCGTCGTTTTGACGGGAGAATTTAACGGGTAAAGCGGAAACGTCCATGGGAACGTCCTCGCCTGTTTCCACCAATTACAGTACCACGGTCGATTTGCTAACTTCGACGTCTAGCGAATTCAGAAGTTATAGTTCGTTGCGCACGAATAAGGGGCGTTCTGCGAGCATGTCGAGCGAGTAATGAGCCGATTCACCGTATTTCACAAGCGTGACGTTACATTAAGTCGAATAATATTCGCATACACCTGATAACGTAGTTTTTCATTAACGTATCTGAACGATATTGATTGCTAAACAGAAAATAATTAATTGCCGCGACGTAATGTATTCTCTTCGCGAGAAGAGTAGTGGAAAGGCGCGAAATCTTTTACTTCTCGTAGGTAAATGAAGAAGCAGAAATCTTGGCGGGAAGGAGAAGAGGTGGCGATAGCTTCCTGTTGGTGTGGCGTAAGCGAGCGAGTAACGTAGATCGCCAACTGCCCGATCGAGCACACCAAATCACGCCAGGACTCTTCGCGTTAAATATTTAATTATTGCTTGCATCCTTTCGAGACTCGAATTTCAACAAAATCACTTTCTTCTTTTCAGCTCGTTATTTTCGAAGATAACGAGGCGTGATAAGAAAAAAATAAGATAAAAAGATATCATAGTAAAAATTATCTCAAGATCACATTTCATTTTACAATGTTTTTTGTAAATCTGCACTGTACTGACATTGTAGTTCCAATTATCATAGAAATAATAAATTTGGCGATCTACCGAATATACGATAGAAAAAAAATATTCAGATAATTGCAGTAATTTTGTAGTAGAAAATCGAGAAAACATGCGTAATATATTTAAACAAATTTACATAGCAATTTCCGTCATAATTTCTGTATTGTCCGAGATCACAAAACAATTTGGTTGTAATTTGTTTTACCGCAATATTTTCTACAAGAAGGCGGACGCATAGTTCGACCGTCGCTAATAACTACCGTATCCGGCGATTGTTAACGGCGGAAGTAACGTTTTACTTCATGTAATTGATCGGCATTCCCTTCCAGCAGAGATTACGTAAAATCGAGCGAAGCGACGCGTTAAATCGAGAATTGCATAGTGCGAAAAAGGCGGTAGAGAGAAAAAAAAAGATTCAAAAAGACTAAGGAACATTCTCAGGATGAGTCATTTTTCCATTAAACAGCGCTCATTATCGCTTCTTTTTCTCGCGATGCTAATTGAACCGACTCTCTTCCGCTTTGGGATGCTGCATGCAAAAACGAGCAGACTAGCATCTTATGCGATTTCCCACTCAATTGTACCTTGAATCAATTGGCGGCACATCGGCAATACGATTAACGTCGAGAAGCAGGGGAAGTTATATTTGACTCGAATTTGAATTGTGCGAATACCTTACTCGAGTTCCTTACTTCTCTTCTTCGTTCGTCTTCTTCATTCTTCTTCTTCTTCGATAAATCTATATCTATACGTCCTCCGTAATCTATATTTGCATGCATATTCATGCATTCGGGCGATTCATAAATAGTAGTAGAACGACTTTACGAGGTGTAAGCTCGGCACTCTTAAGCAACGCGTATCAACGCCGTAAGTCATAAGCGTAAGCGTTTAAAGGCGTTTAAGCGGATCGATTATCGCATCGCATTGCCTTCGGATATTGCATTATTCACGACTGCTCCGATAGCATCTCGCGCGAATTTACGACATTACTCTAGCGCCTTCTCCTGCATGAACGTGTCTCTGTTGTCGGACGACGACGATGACGACGATTGCGTTCACTTCGCACGACACGTTCCAATTCTGGATTATCGGCATTAGTTGTGACGCGACATCGTTCCACAGTTAATTATTCGGCTAACAACACATGATTGTATCATTAAACACACACACATACGTTAATAACCGATCTCTTCGTCGTCTCACACGCGTAAGGCCACCAGGAAGAAAAAGAAGAAGAGGAGGACTGCATCCACCGGTTGCGCGTCATTGCGCCGGAATTTCGGCAGTAAATATTCGTAACGGAACACCAACTCTTTAAGAGTGGCCGCTTGCGTCGCTTATGAAAAAAAGGACAAGAGAGAGAGAAAGAGTTTTATCAGGATACCGACCATCAACCCGGATCTCTGCGTCTCCTTCGACTTCCCGCTTCTCCTCAGAGACCCGCTCTGAATTCACCCAGGGAGTTCACCCTCTTGGGCATCGACCGCTCGTCCATCATCGTGTACCTTCATGATTTACCATCTCTTCTTCTCATCCCGGCGAGCCAGGAAACTCGCCGGGAAGTCTCAATTCGAGATGCACGTCCAACCTTTTATTTTCAAGATCGCCTCGTAACATGTGCAAGCATATTAGCAGGGTGTTTTGAATAATTCCTCTCGCAACGTTGATTTAGTAAGTTACATAGTTATTGACAAAACCTCAGTCGCGATGTAAACTGATGAAAACGCGCGTTTATCGTAAGTGCTCGATGATTATAGATTTACATAAAACAAAGATCGAGACGATAGAGATATCTGTCGCTGTCGCTGTTATTGGCTGAAGTATTAGCAATGAAGCAATACGTGCACTGAGAGAAATTATCCGATAAGAAATTAACAAACAGATATTTTCCATCAAAATAACAATGAATTTTGTATCCGATCAGGAAACATCGACCAAATCTTTATTAACGTCTCTCAGAACCATCATTTATTAGGTTAAGCATGACGGTACGGAGTGATCTGTCGATGCTTCACACCCATCGATTTTGGAAGTCGGAAGCTACCATAAGACGCAGCAGTCGAGCGACGTGAGATCAAGTTCACGATCGAAGATCGGACCCGAAGGTCATTAGGAAGAGGCCGCGGGGAATTCCTTCACGGTGAGTGACTCCTCTGGGCCAAGGACTTTGGCCTACGCTCTTTCGGCTTTCACGAACGTTACGCGAACGCCTCACGTGTCGCGTTCTGCGATCGTTACGTTTGCAAATTACGACGCCGCCTACGATTCATCGTGGAATCAACAGGAAGAAAAAGCCAATAAGAGTCAAGAGCAAGTTG